AGAGGGAGACTTTTGAAGAGGGTGATTCAGAGCTAAGCTCCTCTCTCACTCTTGTCTCCTCCCCACCAACACTGGCTGTACTCCATGGCTTACAGGACCACTAGGGGAATACTGTGCTGCCTCGGCAAGAATTGTACCTCTTTCCATAGGGGCTTGCTTCTCATGGAATCAACCAGTCAGAACACCAGGAGAGCTGGCATCATTATGCAACTACCTCTCCTCCCCTGAACACTGCCAGGATATTTAACAGCTCATTCTTGGCTTTACTTATAACCATGTGCTGATAACCTGATTATTTGAATTGATGACCACCATTTGAAGGTGTGCTCTTCTCCTTGGGGTACTCTGCAAAGACTTGTTTGTAGGGGATGCTCAGAACTGCAGTCAGCTACAACCAGAAATTATTAAGCTCCAAATCCAAATGTTAAAAGGTGTCAGGATATTAGACAGGAATTTATCACACAGCACAAACCACTGCTACATCATCTTTCAGTCCACACTGAACCACATGGTACCCTCTTACTTGCCATATGGGACTGCAGGAGCTGGGAAGAAAGCTGAGTCTTGCAACCCTGGTCACTTCAGGATGTAGAAATGACCAGCTCTACCTACATGAGAAGACTCTTGAGATTTTTTTAGGACATCATTCACTGTCCACTGCATATGTCACCATCATTTGTCACTGAATAGAAATAATAGAAATAAATAATTTATTTATTTCCCATTACAGTAGCTTTGTGCTCTGCAGGATTTTATCAGAGAGCTCTTGTGAAAGGAGACCCCACTGAATCAAATTACTGCTGATATTTTCATATGCAGAAGGGTAGCAGGGATTAGTAGGCAATTCCCCACTTGGGCCTTGATTACCTGTCAACACCACATGTCACATGGTGACTGTAGTGACAGTCCAGCCATGGTTTTGGGAGGGAGGCATACAGCTCCCTGGCTCAGTGGGTCTCACAGTCAGCTGCAGGGGCTTCATGCTGGACACCCAGCAAATCTCTGAGTCTCTACTAGTAATCCTCTGAATCATACAGATAACTGAGTGGTAAGTAGCACGCAGGAGTTTAGGGACACCTTTTCAAGACAGCTGCCATCTGACTGAGGGATGGTAGCTCCATCTCCAACCCTGAAGCAATTTTTCTACAGAGAGACTGAAGTATTACATCTAGATTAGCCGATGCTGATTAATGAGAGGCATAGCTCCAATGGAATATACTCACATACTAATCTACACCTCAGCGTGCAGGCACTGGGGAGAGAGGGGTAAAACTGTACAGACAAGTCTAGAAGCTCACAAAAGGTCTCCAGTATCTTTAACTTCCCTTCTGCCCATACACTTCAGAATCTGGTACATTATATAAGGATTTTTTGGTGGTTGTCCGTGGTATCGAGCACCGTGGTACATCTAGTCTAAGTAGCAATTCAGTGACTGACAGAAAAATAAGTCCTTCATTGTTCACTGGAAAAATACACTCTTGGTCTTGCAACACTAAAAAGTTCTGAGGGACTTCAGTGAAAATATTTCTGTGATCCTGCTTTACAGTACTCTGAAGTTTAGCTAGTCCTTCTTGGGCATTTAGCATTGCTCCACACCTATGCAAGTAGAAGAATTCTTGCTTTTGGTTTCAGTTCAGAGCCAATAGAGTGTTTCTGTGTTAGGCTATCACAATTCTTAACAACACAGAAATGCAGAAAGGCATTTCTGTTTTTTTCAGAAAGCCTTCTGTTTAGATTGTGTCTTTTATACAAAAAACCCCAACTTTTAAAAATCAGCACAAAATAAAAAGCTGTGCTTTATCTTCTTCACAGGAGTCTTTTATACAAAAAAACAACTTTTAAAAATCAGTACAAAATTAAAAGCTGTGCTTTATCTTCTTCACAGGCAACATTTGAAAGGTAACAGTCATGGAGACATCTGTGCTTGCATGAGTAGAGCTAAGCCAGACTAAAAGAAGTAGGAAAGAGCAAGTGTTTTAGGGAAGTTGACCATGAAGGATTTCCACTGGCATAGTGGAATAGAATTTAAGCAAGACTCTTGATGTTTACTGCCTTAACAATGATAATTCAAGCAAGAAGTGCTAGTCTCTCTTAACTGTTTCTGCAGAGCAAGCAGAAAAATCATAAACCCACTATTAACTAGGAAAAGGACTCCATGCAAGTAAATCCAATTCTCAACACACAGGAAGAGAAGGAATCAAGTGACATCCCTGTGTTTAAATCTTACTTAGCTCAGTGGAGCTGATTGAAGTGGGGAGTGGGATTAAGTCTTCAGTACCCATATTTCAGTACTTTGTGCACTGTTAAAAACTGGGAACCAAACCAAATTCCTGAAAACAGTCCTCACCAGATCAGGAATATTTTGATGAGGTTATGTCAAAAGCTTAAACTAATCAGTAAGTGTTGCTTTGTGGTGTCTTTACAATGGTTACTTCAATGAAAAACAACCTCCAGGGCAGAGCAAACCTTCATGCACAGTGTAAATAAAAAGACACCTCACTGAGTGCTCAGTAACAGGGGCTGGCAGATGCAGGAATTTCAGATATTTGTTAATTGCTCTTTATTCTATCCCAACAAAATATATTCTTCCTACCCCAAAATGTTTATTTAAGGTCACTATTTTAAATAAACCAGATTTAATGGCATAGGGAAAACTGAAGTCCAAAGGTTTTTCTTTGTACACAGTGCACTGACCCCTACTCTCATTATGGGCCATAAACATTTATGAGAGTTCGTCATCAGCTTGCTGAGCCAACGTATTTTATCTAGTTTCCTACAGCCACACATCAATAAACTCCAAGGAACTTTGCATAAGACTTAATCTAGCCCATTCTCCTTCAGCCTACATACCCAAAGGTTTCTTGCATGTGTATTAAGTAGGTAGATTTTTAATACCTGTAAAAGATAAGCACCTAAAATAAGCACTTCCCAGTAACTGATCAGGAGTAAATAATTTCCTTACATTTCCCTGTTGCTTTTATTCTCCTCTCCCACTGGTTTTGAAACCATCAGTTGTTTCTGCATTCAGAAACATCCCCATCCTAGCTACACAGCCAAATCTAAGATGAAATTCTCGAATCTGATATTTGCCAAGAGACATATGATATGCTAAAATAAAAGTCCTGCTTTTTATGAGGAGGATTTTGACACATTAGATTCCCTCTGTCTCTCTCTAACAACCAAACTAATCCTTACCAGCTGTGCATGGCTAAGTTCACCTCAGCTAGCTAATGTGCACCACTAAGTCATGGTGGGTTTAAGTAGCATTTTCATCTTGAACAGATAACTACCACGTGCTGGAAATGAAAACGAAATGAAACAATTTCTCATAGTGTCATTATGATATCTGCAACTGGTGTTTGCACAGACTGTGGCCTGGGAAGCTGGGGAACACTCCCTGGTCCTGCCCATCCTACAACAGGCAAGTCTGAGAGTGGAGACACTCAACCACCTCCTTCAGGAGTCCAGCAGAGGAAAAAGAGGATCAAAGCCATGTCTCACACAGCTGAGGCACAGCAGAAGGAAGGGAAGTTTCATGGCACTCCCCTCTGCTTGGCCTTGGTATGGATCCCCCAAATCCCTCCTGCTCTGAGGTCCAATTCTCAGGTATTAGGGAGCTGTTTCTCTTTCTGTCATGGAGATTAAGTTATGAATAGTCTGATTGCTGCATGGAGCTGCTTCTGGTTATTAATAAAACCCTCAGGACAGATGAGCAGAGTTGTATATTTGAACAATAAAAGGATTTCTTAAGATACACAAACTACTTCTAGACTGGTTTATTTCTTAAATAACAGTTTTCATTTTAAGGTGGTATGAACCACTTATTTCAAGTGCTCTTACATTAAGCATTTACTCTGCCTAAGGAATACACATTTACTTGGTGGCTCATATGAAAGAAAAGTGACTTAATCTAAAGCTGTATTCCATCACCCACAGTTATATTTCTTACCTAGACAAAGAAAATGGAAGCACCAAGCCTAGCCAAAGCAAAACCCTACTTAGCTTACTATAAGTACAAGCTCACATGAGCATCAAATGCACCTGTTCAAGTGCAGAAATTATTCATTTTCTCTGTAATCCCTTCCAAGATAATTTGGAAGAGTTCTCTCAGCACCACAACCACCCGTGGTTCATCATGTTCATCTGAAGTCACTACAAACTGCAGTGAAACCTTCTTGCTAAGAGAAGCATCTCTCTGGACTTATTTCCCTTTGTCTCATCGTTACTCAGTCTCTGACTGTAATTTTAGCATTTCTCAGAGACTATGTATACTGTTCATTAGATCACTGATCGAGTCATTGCAATGGATTTCCTACTTGTATTTGTCCTCTTTCAGCCTTGGATTTACTTCATGGCCCTCCTTGTTCCTTCTTGTGAACACTGAGTGTACTGTTCCATGACAGAAATAATGACAAAGCATACATTAAGAGCAACAAATCCTGTATTATAAGGAGTGGAATTTCTACAGGTGCTTTACCCAGGGATTAGAAAAAGATGTAAAAACAGGAGGGGGAGAGAGAAGCCCTAGAGTGTTGCTACCACTGAGGGAGCTGAAATTTAACAAGTCACACAAGCTAATCTCCCTAGATCTAGGAGATCATCTCCTTATTATAGTAATTACCAACTCAGTAAGGAACAGATTTCTTTCTATCATGTACAATACTTAACAAACTGGGGAAGCACATTTCTTTCATTTGATCCTACAGTAGCAGAGACACTCTCATAAAACCCCTGCATTGATCCATTTCCACTTACACAGACTAATGGTGTAATATCATAGAATCATAGAATTTTAGGGGTTAGAATGGACCTTAGAGTCACAATCCCCTGCCCTGGGCAGGGACAGCTCCCCATCAGACCAGGTTGCTCAAACCCTCATCCAGCCTGGCTTTGAAAATATATTCCCCTGTAAGATGCAATTTCTAAGCATCATATGGATTTTGAGTGTCACTATATGCATAAAGAAAAATCTATGCTCTAACACCAGCACTGTTGCAAACCTGTAAACATCTGCTATCCTGACAGCATTTTCTTTCTCCTCCTTGTTCAAGGGTTTCAGGGGGTTCTTTTGGTACATCTTACCTGAAAGCAGATACACAGAGCTGAAATTCTTCTCCAGTTTGCCCAGGAGCACAGTAAGAAAGCAGTCGGATGAGAGGGAAGTCACATCTTTAGAGCTTTGGTCATACACCACCACTTCCTGCTTGCAATCAATTTCAATCTGAAACACAAGTAACTCAGAGTAAGATGGGAAACAAGATGATTAAAAGCACCACATTATCCTTTCCATCAGGGTTCCCACACAGTTGCTATACAGTAGTTCAGCTATATAGATTTCTTATGCAGTTGTATGTGAAAGTTTGTATTTTATACTTCATATGCCTGTCAGATTTAATTCCTCACAGAGTTTATAAACTGATTATTTGCTGCAGGTTGAAGCACTCCCAACAAATTTCTATCATTAGGTAATTTTATGTCCCTGGTGAAACGCTCTACCTTCAGCTAATTTGGTTTATTTGCTTAAAAGCTAAGCTTTTTAGAAGGTCCTACCTCAGTTCCTGCTTCTGGAGGCTACTGGTGAAACGCTCTACCTTCAGCTAGTTTGGTTTATTTGTTTAAAAGCTAAGCTTTTTAGAAGGCCCTACCTCAGTTCCTGCTTCTGGAGGCTTTGTACATAAACAGCCTAAAGCCACATACATGTTTGTTACCTGTACAACTGTATGCATAAAATACACTTTAAAATAAAAAAAAAAAAGCTTCATTTTTAACACTACTTAAAAAAAAAAAAAAAGCTTCATTTTTAACACATCAAAGCAAGAATGTAGTAGATTATTCTCATACCCAAAGCATGTGAAACAAATACCAAAGGTTAAAAAGACCCCAACCCCCTTCCAGATATGCAGTAATTTAAAACAGCTTATCTATTTTCTCTTCACTGATAACTCTATTTGGAAAAAAAAAACCCCACAACCCTCCCCTCAAACAAACAAACAACAAAATAAGCCACCAAACCCCATCAAATGACTCCCATGAAAAGCATTTTAAGCAGCAAGCAGGAGCCAGAATTGACAGAGACACAGTTTCTTTGCAAACCAGATGACCACTTGCTAAGCAATCCCCACCACCACAGACCCCAAGAATCCTTCGAAGCTCAGGAGGAGAATGTTTCCTGCCTTAATTATATACATTTGAGGTACTGTGCTCTGCAGGACATACAAGAGCCCTGAGAACATTCTTTCTGGGTAGGCAGGCTACCAAGAACCCCAACGATAAACTCAGTAGTAATCAAGAGCCTCTTTGATCAAGTAGGTTCTCAGCTAAACCCAGTCCCATAGTCTTGGGTTTTTTTCCTAAATGAAATACCTAAGGAAAAATTATTACAAGTCGTTTCCCAGCTGCTCCTTGAAACAAATACAAGGAATAAGAGGAAAATGACCCCTACCTTGTGTTTTGCTGAATGCTGAATGAGCTCTGTAATCAAAACTTTGTCCTGCTGCAGCCTCCGCTTCATGAGCTTGGAGCAGTTGATGTTGATGGCATCCAAGATGTGGGACGTATTGTATTCCACAAAGGGGCGGCTATCAATCAGCAGCAATTTTTCCGTACCGCTCTCCAGCAAAGCCACCAACTTCTCGGCGACAATGAGTTGAGTCCTGATCATCTCATCGGCCATGACAACAATAAGGCCTCTTTCACCACCTCCCTCTCTAATTTGCTGCGATGATGTAATGGCTGTGTACTCAAAGGCTTAGCCACACCATTGTACTAGAAGTGTATGAGGTCATGCTGGTAGTGACTGGCAAAAGAAAAGTTAAACCCATTTTCAGAAAGAGCTCTTCAACTGAATGTCTCCTCCTGCTTCCAGTTGATGTGCCATTACAAAGGGTTCGTTCCACAAAGCAGCCCCTCACATCTGATTCATCGGGGGGAGATGACTATGGAGTAGCCATTTCACAATTCAGACAAAAGATGCTTTCTGGCTGCTGCTGCATTACATCATTCTTTACCTTTGCTCCCACCCATCAGCTTTACACCAGACTAAGAGCCTGTAAGAAGGGGAAGATGAAAAAACCAAAAAACACAAACCAGATGAGGCCATGAAACTTTGCAGAACAATCATTCAGCTCTTGAGACTAACTGTACCGTGGTCCGTACCATATAATAAATACATTCCTGAGGAGTTCTGCTCTCTGCTGTATATGCCAAACACCTAGAGAGCATTGGCAACTGCAGTCTCTGAATCCATTCCAATGATCTCGCCTGGACCATTATCTTGTATTTCAGGCAACATATCCTGCCTTAATTGCAGACTTTTGTTGCCACTAGCTCTGCCTCTTCACAAGACTTTGTTAGATCATTATTAAGAGATACTGCCCTAAATCATGGTATTCCTTTCAGTAGCAAAGCTATTGAAATGTGTTTCAGCACTTCACCACTTAGTAAGAAGTTGTAAAATTTGGTTTTTGAAACACTTAAACAGTTAAACCATTGAAATTTAAAAAATTTAATGCCTTGGAAAGTATTTCACAAACTAGCACTGCAAGCTGGGGAACTGAAACTGTATAGAAGAAAGGACCAAACTTATGTTCACCTCTCTAGTTTCAGAACATTCTTGAAGAGAAAGCAGAAGAACAAGATGCTACATCAGGACACAAGCATTTTATTTGTGTTAATCACCAGGCACGGAACAGAGGCCCCATGCACACACTACTGAAAGGTAAAGCAGTGAACACTCTCTCTGGCCTTTCTGGAGGTGGTGCAACAGTTAGGTGTAGTACACTTCAGCACACGTGGTAAATAATACCTGAAACAAACTATCTGTCTGTAAAATTAGATCCTGACAGCATCTGAACATCATCAGGCAAAAGAGCAGCAGCAGAGCAGTAAAACCACCTGATGTGTTTGACCACCTATTCATATTATGGCCTCACAGCTGCCCTTGGGATCTTCAGAGTGTCCCAAAACACACTCTGACAGAACAAGTCCCTGTAGGAACACTCCTCAGAAAAGAGCCACCATGGGGTTTTGCCCATAAGGGATTTAGCTTATATTTTAACTTTCATTTTACTTATAGTGTTGACTTGCTGCTTCCATTTGAAATGTTTGTTATTTATCTTAACTGCAAGAGAAGTAAAGAATTCAAACTAATTTACAGATAGACTATTAAAAGTCTTGTTATACCAACAGGTCAGTTGCATTTGGCATTGAGAAATCCCAAGTCAGAAGACGTTTTCCTCATTAGATACAGTATACAAATCTACATATACAGAATCATAAACAAATTAAATTCTGAAAAAATACATTATTCACCTTAATAACCCAAAAAAGGAAACCAAAAGAAAGTTATTTCATGAGTTTCATGTAGCAACAGAAGAAAAACACCAGGTTTCACATAAACAGCCAGTAAGTTGGCAAAATATGGTTTTCCATTTGTCCTGACTGCAGTGCTATAGAGACAGTGCTTTGAAGCTTGGCCAGAAAAATGGAAGCATAGAGCAGTGAAATGCATACTGCTCTAAACTACAAAAAATATTGGAAAATATTCTATACCAAGACTTAACAAAATGCATTAAATAAATCCCTTATCTTTGCAACCTCTTTGGCAGGTGTGCTCCCCCTCAAAGAACACTCATTGTATACTGACATTAGGAAGATATCAAAAGAAGATGCCTTAAGAAGGTATCAAAAATTCTGCAAAGAGGGAAAAAAAGAAACTTGATAGTTATGTCCCTTTTTTTTCGTCCCAGAAGGAAAACAGTGTTCTGCACATGTCCAGTCACAGATCTTGATTCTCTTTTATTCATACCAAATGTTGCCAGATACCAAACCCACTGACCTCAATGAAAACTTTTCCACCAGCTCTAGTGGGAATTGGCTCTAGCTCCTTTGTGAGCTAGACAGTTTGTTCGTGAACTAGACAGTTTGTTTTGATGGATAAATTGCTGACTTAAAGTCCAAGTAATAACAGGAAAATAAAGCAACTGAGAATCTGCAGAACTCTAAAACAGATTCTATCAAAAATACTTAAACTTGCAGCTTTCAGTTTGGGTATGCTTCTGATCTCTAAATGCTTACTCCTTGCTGTCTCAGCCTTCACTTTTGTACCACAGAATTTTGTTTCAGAAGATCCTGGAAAAGGACTCAAACCAATCATAGATGGTGACTGAGTAAAAAGCATGGAATGAACATAAGGCAAAGTGGACTACCAGCCAAGAATCCTCTGAAATAACCGTATTTCTTTAACATGGTAAGTACCTGAAAGCATTCTGCCCATGGCTCAAAAGCAATAAACTTAGCAGCAATGTCACCTCAAGTTATTGCAATTGAAATCCTATTTTGACAGGAACATCTACACTGGGCAGGGGAGAAGCAACATTTTTATCAAGTACAGGTTTTACAGGTTCTCTCTGTTTGTGGAACTATCAGTGTTTGGGACTCTTCCTTGGGATGTATCTAAACAAGAGAAACTGGCTGCTTCCTGCTTTAGGTAAATGCTTGAGCTCTCTTCCCCTTCCTGAGGGCTGCTCTTATCATTCAGATGCTATGAGGCACTGAAATACCTGTTTAATTTCTAATGTGTTTGTACAAAGATAAAATTCAATTTCTTGACTGATCTCTTTCTGCTGTGCTACTTGTGACTTAGGTATTATTGACACTAGTGTCTCATAAAATGATGTCATGCAATGCCATTATGTTGCTGATCTTCAAGCTGGGAAACCATCCTAGCTGCAGTGTGTTTTACACTGAAATCAGGATTTTGGAAAAGGGAATGGGAATACTGCATGAAGTCCCTCACTCACAGACACTCTGGTAACACTGCGTGGTTCCTTCTTGTAGAGGGACTGTAACATGTGGCACTGCTTGTTACCTCTGCTTTTAAAGAAGAAAATTAAACTTTTAACTCATTGTAAAACTAAAAAAGATCTGATCCATGCTTGCCCAGTATCGTTACAGTTACTCCATACTGTTTAAAGAACCAAACTAACAAAACCCCTACTATCTTCCACACAAACAACAGTGGATTTCTAATGTGGATGTGTATTGCTGCCACAGAACTACAGGATCTCTCCTGCCTCAGGGATTCCTGTCCCCATGCCAAATGGCTCCGATGGAGTGAAGTAAGCAACCACGTAACTGGAAACGTGGCACTTACGTTGTGCTTGATTTTTCAGTCACAGTAACTCACATTGTGTATGCCCTCCTAATTTCTACTGCTACCACTTGGATTTGGAGCAATTCCTTTACATCACAGCAGGACACTTGCTTGAGCTATCTCAGGTTTTGGCTCATATAGAATCATAGAATTATTTAGGCTGGAAAAGACCTCAAAGATCATTTAGTCCAACTATTAGCCTACATTTCCCAGTCCACCACTAAAACATGTTCCTAAGCTCCGTATCTACGCATCTTTTAAATACCTCCAGGGATGAGAGGCAGATGTATTAAGAATACATTTTGCAAACTCTCTGAATGACTCTGAAATTCTGCCTCAGTTAAGGAACTAGCTAAGAGGTTCCAGGAGCCTTACTGCCATCTCTGAAAGGCTTCTAATCCATGTAAGAAGATAACCTTGAAGCTGCATAAAAGACCTCCAGCTAAGATTTTTAAGCTCACTCTATTTCCACACCTACTGCTCAGCTACAGTTTTCCCCAGCACTCTAAAACAGCTGGGCTAAGCAAGATGAATGGTCCTTCCATCCAGATAAAAGTAAGATATTTCTTTTTGCTACAAATAGCCATATTTGAAATAATACATTATTTCCTAAAAAAACCCCACTCCAAAACACCACATTTTCCTCACCTACACAGCAGGGCCCTCAATGTGTGCAACATTCTTGTAAGTATCATCCATATTCTGCCAACAACTCGGAGCAGTGAACCAGGTGATCATCACTGGCACTTACAAGAGGCCAACCTCTTTGGCATTCATGGTGAAACAATCAACATTTGTTAAGCATTACAGCAGGGAAGCATTAGAACATGCTGTTGATATGTTACACCACCCTATTCAACAGAGACTCAGAGACTCAGTCTGGGGATTCCCTTCTCCACCCATACAAGCAAGAAGCTCTTTCCATTTCAAAATAGTTTTTCACTCCAGATTCACAGCATATATAGTTCTGTGGCGACCAGAATCAAAGTGTACTTAATCCACTTCAAACACACACACACCACAATATATTACATTTTTAGTTTCCTATTGCCTGGGACACTAGGCAACCAGGAAAGTCTCAATGGATTTTTTAAAATAATGATTCTCCCTCTGTGACTTCAAAGTCAAAACAACTGAAAATTCCGGAGTACTTTTATAGAAGTTCGTTATTATTTCATGTCAAAAGCAACTACTCACCTACATTGAAGTCAAAATGTATATGGGCTGAACAGGACAGAAGGTGGTTGACATACAAAGGTCAGCAGAGGGAAAACCTAAACATGGGAAAATTATAATAACAAGTCCTTATTACAAGACTTTAAAAAAACCAAAACCAAACAAAAAAAAACCACCCAGAAAATGGATTTCTCACTTTTAGGGCAGTCATTTGCTTTGCAGCTCCCCAAAACACATGAAAACCTAGGTGAGAAAATATTTATCAATGTAGCATTTGTTTACAAAACAAGGGTCTGAAATAGAAACTTATGTCATACTGATTTTCTAAAAGAAAAGAGAAAAATTG